TGTTAGTGTACACAGCACGCCGAACGCAATTATCTGGGTCAATCAATACTGGTCACATGATTATGAATAGTAAATCTCGTTTGATTTATCTGTAATTCAAAATATTCAATACTTAGTCTGGTTACTTAGTGCTTTCGTTTGGTAGCCCGGCAGGTTTGTACTATCATCGTCAATAACACTGATAATGTTTGAGATGATGTTGACAAATTAAAGAGCGGACGGTTGGCGTGGTATGGACACGTGATGCGTAGACAGGAGATGAATGTGACTAGGAGATGTATGAAAATGGTAGTGCAAGGTAGAAGGGGAAGAGGTCGACCGAAGAAGACATAGATGAAGGGTGTGATTGACGATATGAGAGAGGGAGGAGTGAGTGTTGAGATGACGGTTGATAGAAGAGAATGGAATAGACAAATTGGCTGTGTCGATCCCACCTAGTGGGATAGAGTAAGAAGATGTTTGTTTGAGTTCAAACAATGCGCGAATTTCATGGAAAATTCTAAACTACCCTACCAAACCCTTCCGTCAAATAGTTATTGTAACCTGAAGGACGATAGCTTTCAAAGAACTACTTACAGCACGCAGTGTCCTCTTCATAAACTAAGGAATCCATACAAATCGTTTCGTGATGATCACTGGTCACCCATATCACCACAAACCAATACCGCGTCAAAAACTTCTACTGGTGGTAGGACCTCTTATGAGTCCCCACGGGTAGGTAGCACCACCCTGCTTATTTCTGCCGTGAAGCAGTAATGCGTTTCAGTTTGAAGGGTGGGGCAGCTGTTGTAACTATACTTAGACCTTAGAACTTATATATAGTGGGTGGCGCATTTACGTTATAGATGTCTATGGGCTCCAGTAACTACTTAACAACAGGTGGGCTGTGAGCTCGTCCACCCATCTAAGCAACAAAAAATAAAAAAAATTACTTCGAGTTCGCTAATGGTTACACCCTGTACAAAACACGAAAAACAAAAACAACACGCTGTACTCACAATATAGATCGAAATCTACAGTGACGGAAGTGAACAAACTACTAGCACGTCTATTAATATTAATATTTACATATTTTAAATAGTAAACAGTTATTATAAATCATATAAAACAACCTAGAGGGTGGTTGAAAATTTCATCGCATTCAAAGCATTACATACATTCCTACGAAAGGCGTATAAAACGCCCACCCCATTCCCGAATGGGGGGTTTACACGGGTGACTAAAGCCGCACGATTTTTGCCGCGCGGCGTAAATCGACCCGTGTAAACCCCCCATAAGGTCGCGTTGATTCATATGAAATACAACGCGTCCATTGAGGCGTGGGCGTAAGAAATTCAACGCGCGTAGGTCAGTGAGCGGTCCGTGTAACGCGTCACACGCATAGTGATAGAAAGAATGTCTATAATACGTATTTTTAGATAAAAAGTCACATTTCAAAAGATTATTCATATCGTTATGTAGTTTTGTAGTAGTGTGAAATTGTGAAGCGTCCTACATTCGAGTAAAGAGTTCTCCCTGTTATGGTATATGGGGCCGAGATATGAAAGCTCACGAAGCAAATTATGACCTAAATGCAATTCTTTTTTTTTTTATTGCCTAGATGTGTGGACGAGCTCACAGCCCACCTGGTTTTAAGTGGTTACTGAAACCCATAGACATCTACGACGTAATTGCGCCACACACCTTGAGATATAAGTTCCAAGGTCTCAGTATAGTTACAACGGCTGCCCCACCCCTTCAAACCGAAACGCTTTATTGCTTCACGGCAGAAATAGGCGGGGCGGTGGTACCTACCAGTGCGGACTCAAGAGGTCCTACCACCAGTAATTACACAAATTATAATTTTGCGGGTTTGACTTTACTTACACGGTGTTATTCCTTCACTGTGGAAGTCAATCGTGAACTATTGTTAAGTACGTATTTCATTAGAAAAATTGGTACCCGCCTGCAGGATTCGAACACCGTTGCATGGCTATATACGAATGCACCGGACGTCTTATCCCTTAGGCCACGACTTCGAATTCACATAAAAGGGCTACGGAACAAGATATATTAGGCATTTCTCAACGCGATAGGGAACTGATTTGACTGACATAGCCAAAGTGATTGCTCGGAGAAAGTGAAAGTGGGCTGATCATATATGATAGGGGACAAAAGTACTGGAGTGGAAACTTTGTGCTAGACATCGTAACCAACGAGGTGGACCGACGACCTGGTCAGAGTGGCTGGTAGAGACTAGATGTGAAAGGCAACAGACCGAAATGAATGGAATGCATTTGAAGACACCTGCACTCAGCATTGGATGGAAACGGGTTGAAGAAGAGTATATCGACGCTTGAAAGGCAAACGTAACTAAGCGACAATAACTGCTTTGTACATAAATGATAGGCAATAACCATATTCGATGCACATAAAAAATATATTTCTATGTCTATTAAAATCATTTCAATCCTACAGCTACTAGCTAGATTCTACTACAGTTAGATTCGTTAAAATAAATTTTGTTTTCAGGTATTTCAACTTTAAATTAGTCTACTGTAATGTTCACGCATTGTCGCTTAGTCACGTTTGCCTTTCAAGTGTCGATATATGTAATCTTCGGTTTCTTTTAAATATTTGTAAAAGTTAGGTATTAAATGAGGGACCTTAATTTACTTGACGTTGATGGTTAAGAATTTGTATGAATATTATGTTTTCTTATACAAGCCCAACAAGTATAAAAGAAAACATTTATTTGTCACGCAACCTTTGTTGTAGGGACCATTCAGATACTTAAAAATTATACATTAAATTTAATTGACACATTCATATAATATCACCGTCTAGACTTTCTGAAATGATAAGCTGAAGATCTTTTAATGAGCTGGCAATTTTGCTCGTTAGACTAGACGGTGGTCATTCAGAACTTGTTTAAATAGGTTTTCTTGTAAATTCCAGTAACACAATTTATGCTTTTGATACCTTTTCTTTTATGATAGATGCCATTACAGTCAGAAATTGGGCAATGTATACAAAATTGAATTAAAATACAAACAACATTAGTGTTGGTCAAGTGAATTTTAAAATCTATGAGTACACTTTTGCCACTAAGGTTTTGAGCAATTACCCAAACTTCCCTGTTAATTTATCAAATGCAGTCTTTTGACAAAGTAGCCAAGCATTCCAAAAAGTGTATCAAAGCAATTAAGACTTCAATCATTTGTCTCGAGTTGGATAGTGGCTTGTAATTAAAATGTTCAGTTCCTGGGAGTCTGCTTGCCTTATCAAACAACAAATTATATTTTAAAGGTTCTGTTTTGTGCTACAATGGCATACACTCGGTAGGGTTAGCACGGACCTGGCATTACTGAAGCTCATAGAGGTCAGTATTGATACACTCACTTTAACAAACAATTACAGAAATAATTTGACGTAATAAATCTTGAGGAAAACAAAAAACAAATTCATCAGAGAATTGTGATGATATGTTCGACATTTTATTTCTTGATACAGAGGATAAACACCTTTCCTATCTTTAGTCTTTTGATCTAATTAGCTTATAATGTGCTTTTATTTTGTTATAATAGATGTTATCTACATCAAAGAGCATTGTAAATTTAGGCCAAATAAAATCCGTTAATTATGTTATAAGCTCTGTAAGCTAAGTAAAATTCATAACTTATTTATTCAGATATTTACCTAAATTATAATATAAAAATCAAGTAATGATTATGAATTTAGTTCTGTTTAAGATAGACAAAATTTATGAAAATTGGTTTTGTTGTTAAGTGGTTACTAGATTTCTTGGACATCACAATATGAATCATGTTGACAGCCTGAAGAGCAGGTACTGCCACCCTCCTTATTTCTGTAGTGAAACAGGTTTGAAGGATTGTGCAGCCATTGTAATCTAAAAACCATGACTTAACACTCATATCTTGAGGTATGTGACTGTATTCACGTTGTTGATGTCTATGGACTCTCCCCTTACCTGCTCACCACTTGACACCAGATGGGCCGTGAGCTTCTCCACGTGTCTAAGCAATCAATTAAAGAATGAAACATAAAGGGAGAATATTTAGCTGTAGGTTGCTGCTTGGCTGTGACAGTGACAATTCATCATCAGACTGCCGTATAATCGTCTACTTTCTTCTTCTTTTTCTTCATCTTATCCCACTAAGCCTGGCTAATTTTTCTCTCCATTCTCTTCTATTAGCCGTCATCTCAACACTCACTCCTCTCTCTCTCATATCGTCATTCACACAATCCATCCATGTCTTTTTCGGTCGACTTCTTCACCCTCTACCTTGCACTACCATTTCCATACATCTAGTCACATGCATCTTCTCTCTACTCCTCACATGTCCATACCTAATTACCTCTTTAATTTGTTGATTACCGGGCTACTTTCACACTTCCTCTGCCATAATAATCTACCTACAATGTCAATAAAACAGTATAATCATGTGATGCATACATTTAAGCATTCAATACACCCTCAACAACTTACTTTACATTATCTTATTTGTAAAAGTAGTTTTCTACATAATTAATTAATCTAAGATTAAAATACATTGAAATACTAAATTATTTCAAATAGAATAATTCTGAAACTAGATCAAGAGCAGTTTGCGTGAATTTTTTCTATTTCAAGTCGACATTAAGGAGCTGTTTTTTATGCAAATATGATAAACAATAATATAAGTGTATCTTCAACACTGCTCACGTTTTATAGTCCAGCGATCACTTTCCATTATAAAAGTTGACACCGCAGCGTGATCCGAATGTAATGAAGTTTATAAGCCACAAAACGTTGCAAAATATTCCGAAGAAACTTAAAATTATGGATTTGTTTTTCCAATTTAAGTATTTTGTTTTGTCTATAATGTGGTTTATGAATAACTTTAGTTTTTACCTAGATTATTATCGGCCATACGACACCGCTTCAGAGGCACGGCGCCGGCCACCCAAATAAGTCAACATTCAACAAAATATGCCATTTCCATTTGACACATACTTACCAATTTCCCGCTGCTGAAGTCGTGAGACCACTATTACGTGTTTTCATAAAACACTACACTATTTATTCGTTATAAGATATAGCACTAGACACGAATTTCACACAATATTTAAAACATTTTTGCAATTTTCTATTCATATAATCGCAAACTACAGCTTGTCTCGTTCACACTTAACGTTTTTTTATTAGTTGTTTTACGGCTAATGGGTATTCGTAGTTTTGGCCTTTCTAAATTATTACAAGGGCGGCAATATGCTCAGACTTCAGCGGTGTTTGCTATGACAGTGGAAGTCTTAAACAACTGTCATTTTCATTTTACACAACTGTACTTAAATATTAATGAAATTAGTAAAGTAAAAAAACTTCATCGACGCTTTCGTTATCCTGTTTTCTAGAAATAACCATGGACATGACGGGAGTGGGACTTACTATTTATATATTTAATCAATAAGTACAGTGCTAAGGAAGTTAGGGTGGGTAATGCAAGATGCCCGGTCGGCGGTGTAGCGCGTACCGACCCGGCAGGCTGGCCGGCCGGTCTGGTAGGGCCGCCGTACCGCGGAGACCAACGTCGTTGGTCGTCGACTATCGCCTCAACGACCCGTCGGTCAGGCGTCCTTGGGGTGGCGCCGCGTGTCTGGTTGTTGTGTTGACCGCGGGAACCTCCCAACTCTGACCGGATTCTGACCCCGGACGGAGATCAGACGTCGGGCGTAAGAGTGCAGGGGAGTCGTTTAGTGGATGGGCCCTAAAGTCCCACATACCCCGCGCGCCCCTTAGGCGCAAGGACCTCGTAGGAGGATCGGCCCCCGGCCCAAAAAAAAAAGAAGGGTAATCCAAGATCAAAAAGTGGCATTAGTCTTTGCCGTTGAACTCATAGCTACGATGTTCGATTGTTAGAACGAAATATTGTTGTTTGCTTGCGAGATCTACGGTTAATATTGATGCCCGATTATGTTGGGGGCCTGTGTTGGGGCTGCAGCTATTTTAATAGAAATGAACTTGCACAGGGACGGGAAAGTAAGTAACATTAATGAAATTTTTAATTTTAAATTTTGCATGGTCTTCAATACAACATAAATTAATCTAAGAGATATATTCGAATAATTGGATACTTTTGCCTTTTCAGTGCTAGGTTATTATTACTGTCGTTACTATCACTGACAAGGCAGATTTATATTGAGTCAGTAACTAACGTCAGTGCGCTACCGAGTCAGTGCTGACCTGGCATTGCCATCGTGTAAATTGATTTCACGTCAGTACAGTACTGTCGCGTCAGTACTGACTTCAATATTCGCGCTTCATATTTTTCGGCGTCAGTCCGCTCCCCCGCCACCCACGCCAGCGCTACTGACGCCGTGTAAATGCCGAAGTAAGTCACTGCCGCTTTATTGTACTGTGACCGCGCTGTGTTGCACCACATCACAAAATGACGCTAAAAGTAAATGACACGAAGAACTTAAAGATTATTAGAATTTAAAGATTGTAGTCGTCGTGGCCTAAAGGAATAACATCGTGTAATAAAAATGAAACCCGCAAAATTATAATTTGCGTAATCACTGGTGGTAGGATCTCTTGGGAGTCCGCACGGGTTGGTACTACCCCCCGCTTATTTCCGCCGTGAAGCAGTAATGCGTTTCAGTTTGAAGGGTAGGGTAGCCGTTGTAATTATACTGAGACCTTATAACTTATATCTCAAGATGGGTGGCGCATTTACGTTGTAGATGTCTATGGGCTCCAGTAAACACTTAACATTAAGTGGACTGAGAGCTCGTCCATCCACCTAAGCAATAAAAAAAAAATTATTATATTGAGATAATAAATCACAAAATTATAGAAATAAAGAAATGCGCGCAACAGCATTACAGAATATTGGCTGCAAGGCGTCTCTCATGTGTCTTGACGCTGTTAGAGCTTGATAACAACTTAAGCAAATCATCATTTGGCGTCATTCTCAAAGCCAGTTTGTATTCCCCAGGATCTTCAATTCTCAACTGGGTTAACAACAGAGCTGAGCCATCAGTTTGATCACTGGCACCTATCCATTTTCTTACCCGAATTCGCTTCTTTTTAGATATTTCTTCTAACATACCAGTTAGTTCTTGCATCATCACAAAGGTAAATTTTCTCAAGAAATTATTAACTCTGATTTTTTGCTGTTTTTGAGAATTCATTTTTCCACACTGAATTTACAAACGTGTGTACACCATAAGAAATAACCTCGACTACTGACAAAGTACTGACTGCGTATAAATCGTATGGGTCAGTTTTCGGCGCCAGCATTGACGTTAGTTACTGACTCAATATAAATCTGCCTTCACAGTATGACTTTGATAGATAATCGATATTGAACATCACTGTCATTACATAGTGGTGTTTGTAGTTTAATAATTTTACACATAGCGTAGCGAGCTTTACTCCGTTGATTTTACTCAATGAATATTGATTTGGTTTAATTAGTGAACAATACAGAATTTTAGTCCGAAATGATAAAAGCTATATTAGTCTTCAACAACCATGGGAAGCCACGCCTCTCTAAATTCTACCAATATTTTGTGAGTGAAAGCCTATTTGCACAAGTGATACTGATATAGAAAACAAATGATTTCCGGGTTCTTAAATGACTATATTAAGCTATAAGTTTAAAACAATCCTAGACGAGTTTACTTTACTCTCGCTAACTTGATTGCAAAAGAAACATATACACTAATAATTTTTTTTTATCTAAATTTCAGAATGAAGATATGCAACAGCAAATAATAAAAGAAACATTCCAATTAGTCTCGAAACGTGATGATAATGTGTGCAACTTTCTTGAAGGAGGCAGGTTGGTTTATCGTAATCATCACATTCATATTCTATATTTTACCTTTAATCTCACAGGCTAAACATATAATCATCACCTCAGTGCCAACCTACAGCTATGATGCCAAATTTAAGCTCTTAATGCGTTTCTGTTTGAAGGGTGGGGTAGCCGTTGTAACTATACTGAGACCTTGTAACGATATCTCAAGGTGGGTGGCGCATTTACATTGTAGATGTCTATGGGCTCCAGTAACCACTTAACACCAGGTGGGCTGTGAGCTCGTCCACCCATCTAAGCAATAAAAAAAAAAACTTAAAAACCTTACTAAGTTGCATAATATCTTTTGTTATTTATACAAAAGTGGAAAGTTTCAATTGAATAAATGGTGTTTAATATATTTGTTGGTCTATGATCGTCATCTCTTAGAAGGAAGCAATTTCAAGATATGTACTATATACAGCAATAAAACCAGTTGTTCAGGCCAGTGCCTTCAATTCTTTTATGGAAATGTCAAAGATGCTAGCCATCGAAGGTGCTAAGCATCACAGTATAGTAACATATTGTATTTAGCTATCATTCAATCATTCATTACCCGCTCTTCAAGCACACTGTACATGTCACAGTTTCAATAATATAAGAATAATATCAAGTGCTGGAGTTTTATTACCACAAGAAACTCCCTTGTGTATCTCAAGCTGGTATACCAGTTTTTTTTTTATTTCTCGTAATGGGCCATTTGGTGTTGAGTATGCAGACTATGGTAAAACAAAATAGAAAGTGGAGAATGTTTAAACTCACTTCATAGGAGACGGCCGTCTGGTGTAGTGGTAAGTGACATGGTCACTACATAAGGGGGTTGCGGGTTCGAATCCCGCCAAGGGCAGATATTTGTATCTGTATGATATATGATGTATATTAAAATATATGTATGTGTATAATAAAAATCTTACATTTATTTCCTTTATCTGGTACCTGTAACACAAGTTCTTTACGAACTTATAACGGGACCAGTTAACGTGGTGTGATTGTTAGTAAATATTTATTTATTATTATTGATTATTAGTTATAGGACAGTTGAATAGAGGTTAATAGTATTTATGTATGTTTCAGTCTAATTGGAGGTTCAGACTACAAATTAATATACAGGCACTATGCGACCTTATATTTCGTGTTCTGCGTTGATTCATCGGAGAGCGAACTGGGTATACTAGATCTTATACAGGTTTGTATGATTGGATTTAAAAAAAAAAGTAGGCTGTACCTCTCGTGAATTCTAATGCTTGTAATTTTAACGATAATTGCAATAAGATGACGTCTTATCAATTATGAAACAATTAAATTTACGAACCGTCCGTTAATCAGACCTGATTATAGTACCTTACTAATAGGAGTGGTGCTAGCCATATGCATAAAACCGAGTGTATTGAGAATTTAGTGATGTGATTACATTTGTGTTCAAATTCTACCACGTGTAAATATTTCCACTTTACTCCTCCACTCTCTCCACTTTACGATCCACCATCCTCCACCACCATTAATTAGCTGATTACAATGAAATAGTGTCATGGTGTCGTAGGACGTCTTGTGAGAGTTCACTTTGTATACCAAAAGTTAAAATGAGTCGTCTATTATCAAAGGTGGCAATCTGTGCATTTGGACAAAAAAAATTTATTGATATGTCAATACAGATTGATTTGAATATAATCGTCTCCTTCAAAGAATACGGTTCAAAATCTGCATTAAATAAAGGTTAATAGTTAACCTGTTATTTATCTAAGATGTCGTTCCGAAGAGTTTTGTGACTGCCAATGGAATACAAAGTCAATAATTCGTTTTTCTGATTTACCAATCATTGTCCAAAAGTCAGATTGCCGGCTTTGATAATAGTCGACTCAAATTACTTTGTTGCCATAATTAATATTAACACAGCTCATCTTCTTTACCTTATTATTTTATTTTTATTGCCCTTGTAGGTAGACGAGCATACGGCCCACCTGATGGTGAGTGGTTACTGTCGCCCATGGACTTCAGCAATGTCAGGGGTAGAGCCAAGCCGCTGCCTACCGCTATTATGATTATTATGATTGACGGCTTCTGTTTTTACAGGTATTTGTAGAGACTTTAGATAAATGCTTTGAGAATGTCTGTGAGCTGGACTTGATCTTCCACGCTGATGCAGCCCATCAGGTGCTGGATGAGCTCGTGATGGGAGGCATGGTGCTGCAGACAAACATGGCTGAGATACTCTGCAGGCTTCAGGAACAGAATAAAATGCAAAAAGCTGAGGTACTTATGTTGTTTTTTTTATTGCTTAGATGGGTGGACGAGCTCACAGCCCACCTGGTGTTAAGTGGTTACTGGAGCCCATAGACATCTACAACGTAAATGCGCCACACACCTTGAGATATAGTTCTAAGGTCTCAGTATAGTCACAACGGCTGCCCCACCCTTCAAACCGAAACGCATTACTGCTTCACGGCAGAAATAAGCGGGGCGGTGGTACATACCCGCGCGGACTCACAAGAGGTACACCACCAGTAATTACGCAAATTATAATTTTGCGGGTTTGATTTTTATTGCACAATGTTATTCCTTCACCGTGGATGAATGTGATATGTCATGCTAAAAGAAAGTTTGCTGTAATGGGCTGACCCTATTTTGGCACATCAAGGGTTTGCCATGATGGGACGAGCTCATGGCCCACCTTATGTTAAGTGGTTATTGGAGCCCATAGACAACTACAATGTAAATGCCGCGATCGTCTTATCCTCTAGACCAATATGACACAAAGACATGAATGAGACAAAGACATAAGAGCCTGTAGATAGTATGAGGTCAATGGATGAGCCCATCTTAGGGCTTAATTAAACTACTCATACCATAACTTGAAAAGGGTGAAAATTTAATTAAAAGTCTCCGATACATTCATAAGTGAAGATAATAAAAAGTGCAAACTAGAACATTCTCAGATCCTATAAATGCCAAGAGCTCTTAAAAGAATACAATCAATATTTTTGTTGATGTGTTTGATACTGCATGGTTTTTATTGACATTACATATAAAAATTAGGAATCTTTCTTGAGAGATTCCCAGAACATTTTCCTTATGTTTATTTTACAGTTGATAATTTTTTTTAAGAATTAGGCTCCATGGATCCTGTGGTCTGATGGTAATGCGTATGATGTATTGTTACTTCCAGGCCGGAATATCAGCTGCTCCGGCTAGAGCTGTCTCTGCAGTAAAGAGCATGAACCTGCCGCAGCAACTCCGGGACATGAAGCTGCCTGATCTCCCGCAGGCCATCAAGGTGAGTTAGCATGTGTACCTTATACCTGTAATAAAGCAATTCTTTTATATATATAATCTGAATCTCGGAAACGGCTCCAACGATTTTCATAAAATTTTGTATACAGGGAATTTCGGGGGCGATAACTCGATCTAGCTACGATTTATTTTCAGAAAATATTGTTTTATTCGTGTTTCCAATAATCAACTCTTCCCGACATCTATTGGCGAATAATAATACTATTTTTCTTAATTGAGGGCAACTAACCGCTTTAAAGACACAACAAGATGGCGTTATCAAAAAAAAATCATCTCATCATCTAATGTAAGGCCAACCAGACGAGATAAAAAATGTAAACAAAGTTTCAGGAGTAAAAAACATTTCTATTTAAATAAATTATTACAAAGTTCGAATTTTAATCGCTGTCGTCTGTACTAGACAAAGATGATTCGTTGGAAGAGTCCGAGTCAGCTGTGTTTATGATAAAACTATCTATTGTATTATCAATCATGTTGTCAATATTGCTATAAAAATTATCCTCGACTTTTATAACATGATCCACACAATTTCGCCATTTTTTTATTTACTTGTTCACAAAATGGCGGACCAAATGTTGACAACTGCGGTACTCAGTGCTTTCCTGTACCACGAAACACACAACGACAGCTGTTGTCGACCAACTGACGCCATAACTGCGCGTACGAGTGACAAGGACAGAGATAATAATCCCTCCCTATCGCAATGTAACTCAGTAACGGTCCGCTTGTTTACGTTTATTATCTCGTCTGGTTGGCCTAAGTTTAGTTTATTATTATGCGAGGCCAGTATACATGCAGAAATTGTGTCATTAGCATATTATAGTAACTTGCACAATGACGTCATCGTGTATCTGTTTCAGAAAATTTCAGCAAACAGCAGTTTCAATTTGTAGGGTAGACATCTGCTATGCACGAGAGAGTGTCCTCGTGTCTCAAAGTGGGGGGGGGGGGGGGTGACGTCAACACAAACCACAATGGCTTAGGGCTTAATGTTTGATTGAATCGAGTCTTGAGTGAGTTTCTGTTTGTATCACGGTTTTGTAATTAAGGGCGGATCCAGCTTTGGCGCCAGGTGGGGGTTACATAGTCGTGGGCAAGTTAAGAACTTATAATTTAATTTTGATAACAATAGATAATAAATAAATCATGATGTTCTTCAATTAGACCAAGTTAGTTCAAGTCCTGGAACTAGCTCAGGGGGGGTCATGACCCCCATGACCCCCCCTGGATCCGCCGTTGTTTGTAATTAATATATATATATATTTCTTGTTTCAGGATTTGAAATTCTGACCTACACAACAAGGCGCTTACAACGCCACGCCCGCCACCATAGCCACGAACATAATCAATTCGATCTACCCACAAAACGACAAGTACCAGAACATCCACAAGCCAACGGAGACGTTTGCCAACAAGTTCTTCGGCTCGGAGAGTCTGAGCACCAGGTTCTCAGAGTCGTTCTCCGAGAACTACCAGCAGACCGACGGCGTCACCTTCCCAGAGTACGAGGGCAGGAGCACGGAGGGGTACCAGGACCTAAGCGGCAGCAACGTTGAGTTCAGCAAGAAGAAGGGCAAAAAAAAGAAGCGACGTTGAGTCTAGCGAGGCATCACTCAATGAGTCACTCAGGAAAATATTTGATGATTCTCGTCTTCATAGTGAAATAGCATAATTTATCAGTACCATTGAATTCTAATGAAATAAGAAAATGTCAATACTGTTTAAACTATAGAAAGGTATTTATCTTATCTTGATACCTTCAAACGAGCAATTCTTGTATATAAATATATATATAATCTGAATCTCGGAAACGGCTCCAACGATTTTCATAAAATTTAGTATACAGGGGATTTCGGGGGCGATAAATCGATCTAGCTACGATTTATTTTCAGAAAATGTTGTTTTATTCGTGTTTTCAATAATCAACTTTATGACTCTTCCCGACATCTATTGGCGAATAATAATACTATTTTTCTTAATTGAGGGCAACTAACCCCTTTAAAGACACAACAAGATGGCGGTATCAAAAAGAACCGGTCATCATCTATTTTAACTTAATTAAAAATGAGATTGCACTATAAAATTATCAATGAACTAACTGTACTCGTCCGCTTGGCTGGGCATTTAAAATTAACATTATTATTTCTCACCCCCACAAAGATTCTCATCATTAACACCCCCCACAACTGGTGTAGCGAGTCCAACGCTCATATAAATATTATCCTATCCATTAAGTACATGTATTTTCTACATGGATACCGAGTTTCAAGTCAATCGTATGAATGGTTCAGTAGTTATAACGGATAATCCGTAAAAACCACTGTAGATATTAGTATATATATCAAATCAAATCAGAAAAATTTTATTCAACATAAATGAAAGTCCATACTTGTTGAACGTCAAAAGAACTACCGCCAATTCAGAAGAACTAGCCTCCGTCCTGAGAAGAACTGGCAAGAAACTCAGCGGACATGTTTTTTGTTTTTTTAAATATTAGATTATTTTTTTAAATATTAGATTTTTTTAAATATTCATTTTTACATGAGTATAATAACGTAACAATTATTACAATATTGAAATGCCCGGAGCGAGCAACTCATTCCCACTTTGTGCAATCTTCTAGATATAGATGAAGCAAGTACCTATACAAGTTAACGCGCAGGTATGTATATATTGCTATTAGATTGTACTCTGCGTTTCTACCAACAAATTCCAATAACTGAGTGATTGATTGATTTTTATTGATGTCTCGTCGTAAGAAGTAGAATTAGTAGGGAACAGGACTATTTTTACCGTAATTCTCACGCATTTTAGTTAATCGACAGCGCAATTTCTTTTAATGTGACGTCATTTGTGGCCAACCTAAGTGGGAAGATAACCGTAGGACGTTCTCTTTTGCCATAAACGATTTAGACTCGCTTCCAAAAACATTAAGGTTATCTAGAGAGAGAGAGAGAGAGAGAGAGAGAGAGAGAGAGAGAGTGTTGGGACTTCCTTTTCCTTATTCCTTCCTCAATCCCCTATCCACGCCATCTGTTGACACTACAAGAAAAACTATGCGCGTATGAAAATGGCGCGAAGTGTGTAAAAAAAACTAAAACATGGTGCCGGTGCAAAAACAATAAAATTGTGATTTGTTGATCAATCAGCACATATAACTCTCGCCAGTGAGAAAATTGAATAGTGCATCAACGAAATACAGAGTGAGTCCTAAAAACTTATCCTTTTCCCAGTCCCAAACATCTAAATTCAAAACATATTTAGTGGTCCGTTTCGAGCGCGAATAACCTATGGTAACTAGGGGCATATTCGTTAGAAAACTCTAGTTATACATTTCATTTCGCTTTCATCTTATCCTAATAACAAAATAACTATTATTTTATAATATTATTTTACTATTTAAAGCATAAAATAACAATATTTTTTTTATAAATCTCAACTGACGTAGGTAGTTCAAAAAATTTATCGGTTGTAAAAATAGCATTCATTTGCAACATAATTTTTTGTATTCAAATTCTAATTATATTTGTATTGTTACTATAATTTACGTATTCTATAATGTCAGAACTCAAATTAAAACTCCTAACAAGTCAGCGTGAATATGTTTTTAAGGACATACAAATACTTTATAACTTATCACAACAAATTGCATCAGATTCGTCAAAATTATCTCAATTCAATGTTCGATACAAACGTCTAGATGTTTTACNCTTATTAAAATCTTTTGAAATCCTCCAATGATTTCAAGTGGGGGGAAATGTTGGGACTTCCTTTTCCTTATTCCTTCCTCAATCCCCTATCCACGCCATCTGTTGACACTACAAGAAAAACTATGCGCGTATGAAAATGGCGCGAAGTGTGTAAAAAAAACTAAAACATGGTGCCGGTGCAAAAACAATAAAATTGTGATTTGTTGATCAATCAGCACATATAACTCTCGCCAGTGAGAAAATTGAATAGTGCATCAACGAAATACAGAGTGAGTCCTAAAAACTTATCCTTTTCCCAGTCCCAAACATCTAAATTCAAAACAGAGAGTATTCCTTATTATACACCAAAAAACAAATAAACAGTGCGATACATTAAATACCAAAAAAAGTACAATTGGCGGTCTTATCGCTAAGAGCGATCTCTTCCAGACAACCATCAGGTGGACAAGAATCATTTGGAAACGAACTACGCGCGGTGTACCAATTCAGTGAAATACATAATTATACTTAATATACATATATGTACATAAAAACATTCCAAAATATTATTACGATCGTTATTAAGAAAACTCAAACCTTATCTTTAACTGCATAGGTATCTATAATTTAAATTCGATTTTGTCGAACCATTGAACGATATTTTAGCCGCGAAATTCTCAAGTCACATTCAATGCAGACATGAAAAAATCCGTGAATGTTTTGAATTTTGACATTAGATAGTTCCTTAATAATTAACAAATTCAATATTTTAAACTTTAATGAAAACTAGCATAAATTCGACCATAATTAATAATAAGTTTGAACATTATTATGATTCTTTTTTAAGGGATTTTATGACCTGGTAACTAAGACCTTTAAGTCATGTCTTATTTTAATATATATTCATATTTTTATGAAAGATGATATTATGGAGTGAAATGAAATGAAGATGATTAATTTGAGACATTAATCAACTGGGATGACATTAAATGAAATGAAATGAGATGATATGGGATGAAATATAATCTCAGTAAAATGGTTGTCATTTGCTGAGATTTTTTCAGTTGACTTTTTAGAGGATCTCGAGAAGTTACGTCTAACAGCTTTGTTTCATTTTCTCACATTTGTGCACTTTCACGGATATTAAATAGTTAATAAACCACCGTTATTACACATTTAAACCTGAAGAAACACTAAATAGACAAAATAAAACAAATCACACAACTTCACTCCTCGCGTTCCCGCCAAAAAGTCCACAATTTTTTTACCTCACGTATTAACATACAGATTATACTTGGCTGATAATACATAATACTAAACTAGACTACACAATCGGAATAAAAATACTTTTTGAATAAATTGGATCTGACGTCAGGGTATTTGTAAAATATTAGCGCGATTATTGGTTAATAGTGAAAAATGGCGCCTGTTCCCGCCGAAACGTGTTTTTAATGTTCTTCTTCTAGTCAGATGACAAGAATTATGTGGCGTCGGGTAAATGGCGTATAAAATCGTTGATTAAAAAAAAAAAAGATTTACTGTGTATATAAGTTTAATAAATATATTTTATGTTATTCCATGACCAATAATGTTTGTTTTATTTTCTACTGTAATTGATTTGAAATTTTTGTGATATCCTGACTTGAGTGAAATGGAAACTAATTTGTCGCTTACGTAGTCAATAAAGGCTTATAGAAAGCCATTACATACTTTTAACGGACAACAATACTGCATTATTTAGGCCTAGGACATAGTTTGCGTGGTATGAAAACAAATTTGTGACATTTCGGTAGGTATATATATAACTACAAGCTTAATCTCAATAGATTAACCCTATCCTTGTTGCACCGCCATCAACTTGCGAAATATTTCTGTCGACTTTGATACTGGAAGAGACGTGATATCAGCTAACCGACATGCAGAAATTTGAAAGACGTTATTTTTCCTAAAACGTAGGAAGTTTATTGATTAACATGCCCTCTTGTAGTGATATAGCGAACTAAGTGAACTCGACAACGTTTTAATAACAGGAACTGTTTGCATTGATTTAGCGCCATCTATAAAGCGAATTTGATAATATCTCATAACTTGAACTAATTTCGCTACTCAGCGCTAGGTGGCGTTATTTTAAATATTTGGGTTAAGCTCCATAGACGCCGATATTCAAGTCGTTCTGCTTAAAATTAAGCATTGTTACTTAGCAATCTCAATTATGTTGAATTCTGCCGTTAAATTTCGTGATTACATTAATTCCTCGAATGAATATCTAGATTTTATAAAGCATTTCTCATTTCGCCGCTTCCAGTGTTTAACGATTTCCATAGTCACAATCGCAAAATCCGAAAATATTCTCACATTATTTATTCTGTTTCATTCAATTAAAGTTAGCATTTAGCATTTGATTAAATATAGAATATCTATACATACATTGTAAAAGACAAAAAACCCTTCAGTACAACTTCTCATAATATGTTCGTCAACTTATTTGAGTTAACGACAACTCACATAAAAGTAATTTTTTTCTTCAAAATACATAGGTACATGAAAGAATGTCTGAAAAATGATTTATAATTACACAAGCGTTGAAGACAATGTGGCTATATTAAAATCAACTGATTAATTACAAGTTTAAGCTATTTATATTACCTATATGAAGTGATTACATCGACAAGATATTCGTGACTAATTGAATTACCTACATTATTTACATACACACATCATCCGTACAGATCGATACCTAATATAAATCTAACCGCGCAATAGTCGATATTGCGACACTTCGCACTTTGTACGCATTAATAGAGAGTCAACAGAGAGACGATATATCGACGGTTCGCATTCAAAGAGCTAAACTACCTGTAAATTGTCGAAAATTACAGTGCACTCGTGTGGTCAGCAAACAAGACTGAGAGGGTATGTTTAAGTAAACATTATAAGTTTAAGTTAACTTATATATTTATGATTCTAGAAAGTTCCGTTTGTAAAGTCGCATTCACGTGGATGATCCGTACGTACAATGGCGTACCAATTTTTCTAATGAAATACGTAATCAACAAATGTTCACGATTGACTTCCACGGTGAAGGAATAACATCGTGTAATAAAAATCAAAAACCCGCAAAATTATAATTTGCGTAATTACT